GCGGTTGGTGAGTGTATTCATAGATTGGTCGCATAAACAATAACGGTCAACGGACACCAGGTAAATCTACAAAATTGTGAATGGTTAAATTGAACTGTATAAACATTCGGATGAAGGTAATTCCACGTAAACAAATACGTTGATGATTGTCCAGCCTCCACAAAATATTGGATTCTTTGGCGTCATGCTTAAGAAACGTAAACTGAAGGTCCCATGTGTGTTTACTGTGGTTGCGTGCCACAAAAATTTGCTATCCTGAACGGGTCAGTGCGCCATCGTAAATCTCGCGAATGTTCCATATTTGGAATTAGACTGTGCATTCCAGTTAGTTAATAGTCATTGCTAGTGCAGTTTGCAAGAAAATTGGTTTGCTCAGTTACTGTTCCACTTTACAATAAAAGCTATGGCTAGATTCTAAGACGATAATGGCAAAGCCTCCGAAATATTCGTCCCCTGATAGTTGGGAGATTTCTTCGTCAAATTCCGCAAAAGAAAAACTAACTTCGGAACTAAGGTCCTTAGACTTCCGTGTCAACATGGCTTTCACCTGTGATAATAGCCATCTTCGAAATGAACGTGGTCTGGCATCAAGCTGGCAAATTAATAAAGGTGTCAAGGAAGACTGCATTCTCACCGAATTATAACCGACAGCTGACTAAAACTTTAGACATGACAAGGATTTTTGAGTCCACTATCGAACCATTCCTGACTACAATCCTACTGCCTGATTTGCTTTTCCTAAATAATCACCTCGGAAGATGAATGGAAACGAAAAGCGCTTGGGAAAAGCAGCACAGATATTGAACAATGGATACTTTGAAGTCGGATTTCAACAAGCAGATCCGGAGACGAACACTATGTATTTACAAGCAGCACATCAAAGGGGATGGAAAAGCCTTCTCAGGGGCCCTCGTACATTCCAGGAGGCTTCGATCATTGCAGACTTGAAATGTGATGGAAATAAGCGGGAAACTCGATCACTATAGACCAAATAAATATACTTGGAAGCACATCAGCTAATTTTGGCTTCATTAAACATTAAGGTGATGAGCAGAGCCCATTACCAAAAAAGACGTCTACTGAGAAGCGCTGGGTCAAAGAATTCGAAAATCAACTGGCAGAAAGGGAGCGACCGTGATTGGATCGGAATGATTACGCGTCGAAAATGACAATACAAGTGGCTGCATGCACCAGAGACGCCTCAAAAAGAAATGCCCTAATTTTGCAAAATTACCTAGAGAACAGCAAAAAGTATCTGAAGACAAGGATGACTTATCCTTTGAAAAGAAAATGTGGTGACTGAAACCACGAATGAACGAAGGCTTGCCGATTCTGTGAGTGCACCTTTTGCTTCGAGTTACGCTTATGTTACAATTACAACTTATATTCTGTTCTCATCGAAGTTGTCCTTAAGTCCAATAACCAGAGACGACAACAGTATGAATCATTTCCTTTTTATCGTGCAAATTACACAGATCGTAAATGAGATGTTAGAAAGGAGAGCGGATTGTCGGGGGAAATGGCAAAATTTAGCAATTTGGCTTATTTGGATAAAAGGCAAATTGAGAAGCCGAACGTGGCGTCGGCTGCAAGGACATTTCAGCGGGGCAACATTGGGAACCAGCGTGGCGGATTGTCATGCGGAACCAGCTCGAAGCCTCTCTGATCTCACATCCATTCTGACTATATACACAAAAGCAGGCGATGACTCAGTTAAGGCTGTCGGCTGACGAAGGAAAGGGGAAAAAATCCTATCTACAAAAATAGAATGCATCATGATTGCAAGCTTGTTCACTCGCTTCTCAAAGTAGATCGAAGTATGACCAGCAAAGTAGGACCAAGAAATCTTACGCAGCCAACAAACATGAACATTTTGCGCTGGCTGTTCAGTTGCCAGGACCAGTACGGCGCCACAAATTTGGCATGGCTAGCTGTGGCCCTATGACATAAGAACAGGGCTCTTAAATAGCTTGGAACTAATATGCCAAAGACATGATTAAACAGAATTGGATTGCGGTATTGTCAAGTTCAATCTACGTCATGGTACGGCTGAGTTTGCCATCTTCAAAGGTACCAAGGAACTCCACAAAGGCAAAAAACACACCCGTCCATTGAGCCATCCCTTCCACCAGCCCCTTTCATTGCCCCGCGTGCTGATCACATGCACCAAATCTCCACGTGTTAGGGAAAGCATGCGTGGATTTGCGTCTCCCCCAAAGTCGTGCTGTGCCCGGGCGTAAAATAGGACACTCTCCTCTACAAGGTGAAAAAAAGGTGCAAGTAAAACGGCTGCCGAAAAATAATGGAATGCAACGTAATTTAACATGTAAAGCTGCAGTGTCAAACACATCCTGCACCTTGTAAAAGTGGTTAAAATGACCATTTATGGCTGTCCAGGGCTGAGCGCACATATGGTCCAGGCATACATAGCCTCCACGTAATCGCTCAAAACATTTGAATTATGAAGAGAAGGCCTAATTCCAGATATTGATCATACGAGTGCACAGCCAATGGAGAAACAAACAGATTTTTCGACAAATGGCTCGATATTTTTAGGGATAGTATTAGCACGGGGGAACATCGAAAACCAGGAAATACGCTAACTGGAAAAATTACCAGGGCACCGTTGGTAGGGGAAGCGGAGACAAGTTTGAACTTCATCGAAGCACTCGTTCAACGAGACTCGGCAGTAGAAGTCCACAAGAGCCTAAAAAAGATGAGCCAATAGAAGAATCAATGTCGTTTGAAGCAGTTATTTTTACTTTCCAGAAATAAGACTATAAGGTTCAACTTGGGTTAGCCCAATGTCGAAATCCGCGGTTGCTAGTTCGTATGAGCACTAATTGGTAGACTACGTGCAAACGAATATTCGCAAATAAAAAAGGGAAGTGGAAGTGGGGATGGATAATTTACCATGACAGGACCCACCAAAAGTCCTGTCTATTAAATGTTCGAAGACAAAGTAATCCTGGAAGTATACCAGAGAAATATTTATGCTCCGAAATTGAATGTGATATGATGGACAGCAATTTCTTTGAATCCCTACCTAGTCATTCATAAGCCTTGCAGAGGTTTCCCAAAAAAGGATACAATGAATTTTTACACAACTAAAAGCGTACATCTTGCTCAGAGCCAAAATGATTAGATTTGAACGCGCATAACGCAAATATTGTTTATATCTCTAACTGCAACACTTGCATAAGATGAAGGGCAAGATATTTCGACTCTCTTCTAGTTGGATTGAAGACTGCAACACTGATGTAACATGAAGAGAACGTAATCAACTGTTTTGGCAAAACCCGTGTATTGTAATTGTAAATTATGACACTCACAAAATGAATCGAAACCCCGTCGTGTGAGAAAGTCGTCCCATGGTATAAAGACAGGTAATCAAATGGTGTGTGGGACGATGGCCGATTTTGTAAACATCGACACAACCTGTGCCACAGTGCGTTTGCGATCAGACTGACATCAGCGAAATTTTCAATTTCTACAGGGTGAGATAGATCAATCCAACTTCGCTTTTACCCAAATCCTGGAACAGCTCATAAAGCCCGCACAACTATTTTTAAGAAAAAACATTTGCTCTTGAAAAGTGCGATGATGGATTTCAGGATCTGAAGGACAATTACGCGCGCCGAAATTGTCCTCCACATAGAAATGACCGCTTGATACATACAAATGTCGACGAAATTCGTGGATTGCTGTCATTTGGTGGTAGCTTTATTTTACATGAAAATAACGTTGTCAACTGGTACATTTATGTGTTTGAAAACAGGCTTGTACCTGCATGATACCCAAAAAAAGTAAAAGCAGGAGGCCTTTGAGAAGCCCATCAAAATGAGTTAAACCCGGATGGCTGTAAGGCTGAAACGTAAACAGATGCACACACGGGCATAAAAAGGGAATTAAAATGTTAACCACGGCAATGTTTGAGAAGGCACAAATCTCCTTCGAGCGGTGGTTCATCTAACAAAAAACATTCGTATCAAGACGCCAATCTGGAAAAAAAATACGAGAACAGAGTAGGTCGCTGAGTGGTCAATTGCTAATTGGTACAATGATTTTGAATCAAAAATTAAAAGAGAAACATAATTTGCTTATTCCAAGTGCGTTCGTTTCAGGACACTTGTTAAAAAAACATAAAGGTCACTCGAATTACGTTCAGGTGACGTCTTTAACAAAGCCATATGCTGAATTCGTGGGGATGCATGAAGGTTTACAGAAATATTGATAGGAAGAAAAAATGCAAAAGCTCGGATGTCCAAATTTACGTTTTGTGCAATCCAATCAATACAAACAATTACTGAGGGGATAAGCGTGATGAGAAACTCACCTCTAGCGACTTGAATCGTTGAGGAGAGCAGAGATAAAAGGAGGAGTCAGCACTTCGTTGGATTCGGATGTGTCGCGGATGATGATACACCACAGAGAGGGAGTATTCGCCCATTCGGGAGACGTTTTTCGAGATACGCACGAGGAAGGTGCCATCCTCGCATCCGGTCAGGAGCTGAGTGGCCTCCGCGCGATCCATTTCCCCAAAGTACCTAGAAAAAACACGAGAATTAGGCATGGCGGTAATTGGTGCAGCAACATGCATCCAGCAACATGCGAAGCAAGTCTTCATGCTCTAAAAACAAAAACGAGCTCTTGTTAATCGCACCAACCTGTCGATGCCGTTGTTTTAAAGCAGTCACACCAACTAGCACATACTAAAGGAGTCAAACGAGGAAAATCCATGTGGAAATATACTACCAAGATAGGGTCGCTACAACTAAAATCAATTACTTGGATTTTTTGATCCAATGACTAACAAAAAAGTAAGCTAGCAACAACACTATCACCGATTAATACAGCGTTTTTATCAGCTCTCAAGACGTACCCCTGTGGCTGTTCGAACTCACATCTAACTATGAGAGAAGACGAATCGCTTTTGACTTCGCATGCCCCAAAACAAGAGCAAGCCTTGGAGCATATAATGTACCAGTTACAGAAGAATATTCCAAAAAAAGCAAAGACACATCACTAAAGAATGGGGTTGGGCCAAAAATGTGACTATCAGGTTGGTGGAAAAGTCCGGCTACAGTCCTACCTACATTTGACATCCGATATATGATGGGAGTACCAGATGAGCATCTAACGCTGCACAATAAAACTTCATTTTTCTAACCAAACAAATGCCAAAAAAACTGCCACATATTGGGCGTCGATGCAGCGCCTAAATTGACCGGGTTTCAATCGATTATACGGCCATAGGTAACCGACAAAATTTCTCCAGCTTGGTAGCAGGAATTAAGAATTAGAGTTGTACGGTGTAAAGGCCGCTAATCTGGCGAGAGATAGAGCTTGTTTACTTTTACTAGAGTAGAGGAGTATGGATGGATACTAAAATAACACTATAACACGTTATACCAAGGCATAGAAGAGTGAGATGGAAGAATCGGAGACGAAGTGGCCATGACTTTTCCCACAACTGAGGGAGCAGCCGTGCTACTGAAATGTCTGCTGGTAATAGTGGCGGTCCCATTGGAATTCGGGACCGCATAGGTTCGAAGGGAGGATGATCGAGCTATTGAGATACCATTAGCGTCGCTGCCACAAACAGCAGCAGTAGACGGAATCGGTAGAAGTTCTGCCCGCGGAGAGATTGAACAGAAGGCAAGAGATTCTGACGGTGAGGTTATCATCACGTTGGAGGTGGACTGACGCCGCAAAACGGGACGAGGGGGTGACTGGAGGGACAGGCATGCCCACACAAAAACAAAAACAGGTAACAAAGCAAGCGGCATGCAGACGTGTCCCATGCTTCTTACAAGAACAAGAAAATTCTGCTTCATGGCCAGCCAAGAAGGAGTCGCATATCATAATAACTGAGGCCCTGTTAGTGTTCATGCATTCTAACCGGCCATTAATGCATAATAGGTTGGCAGACACATAATTTTCCTTCCACACTGGCGTTACCAACCATGGGCAGCTGGAGAGTGGAGGTTTAGTGGCAGTTGGCGTGGGTGGTGAAGAGGAGTGCAGTTCGACAGTATCTACGATGAGGATTTCTCCCTCGAATTCCCCTGAGTTGGGCTCGCTGCTGGCAGGGTTAGTGGTTGACGTACCCCATGATGGCTGTGGCGCCACATCACTAAGGGAGATGATACGCGTAACTCGGTCGCGGGATGCCTGGTGCGAAATCGTAGCCACGGCTCTCTACATTCACAGGCAGCATTTGAGCCAGCAGTGGTTGATTTATAAAAATTGCTTTTAAATTATGCGAATTTTTCTGCTAACCGAATGTGAAGTGAACAACTGAATTTTGCTGGAATCAATTTTCGACATATCTACGACGACGTTACTAACCTTCCTAACAAGGAAGCCAAAGTGATTAAATAATCCTGAACTCTACGAGACGTGATTGAAAATCTCAGCATCTTGAAAAAAAGGCGTGAATTGTGTGGATACGAGAAACAGTGTACATTTTCAATAGGGTTACTACAAAATTTAAATAAATAGGGGCAGAAAAGTCAATGTTTACCTAACATCGAGTACAGATACGCACAAGTACGTTGGAAGCAGGTATAAAGAAACCAAATATTAATAGCTAAATATTACGTTAGAAAATGTGTAGAAAATAAAGTATTATTTTAAAATTTGTACCACCAAATGTGAAATATTTCGGCAATAATTTCTTAAGCCCGCCATACGAGGTTAACCAATAGGAAGTAGTCCTAGACGTCGGAAGAAGTTAGGCAACTAGTATTTTATGTCAACTCACCAACTTCAGTGTACTTATATGAAGGAAACATGGCTGCATTGAAGGCATCAGCCAGCCAGACAGTGAATAAAAAAAACGCGATGCGATTTGCACTAACAACAACTGATGATGATCACAAGTGGCACGGTCTCATTCATTTATAAAATACACACAAGGAGCTGAAGATACCAAAAAACCGACTGAGCGCACAACCGGCTCTGAATGTGACGGTGACCAACTTATTCCATTGGTTGGAGTGAAGGATTGGCGAAGTAATAGCTGGACGAATTTAAGGTGCTAACAAAAAGAGGAGCCGCTTTTGTTTAATGTACGAAACGTCACATTACTAATTTCTTTTTAATACTTAAAGATAATATTACCAAGTTACAAAAATGACTTACATCGGCTGTAAAAGGGATATCAACATGCGAAGCTGGAAACCACCCGTCTTGGTCGTTCAACCGGCCCTGTAAAGGAGAATGGGGCGCAAATGAGAAGCAACTCAAAAGAACCAAACGCATTTCTTTCTAATGAGGGCTTTCCTGTTTAACCAAAGGTTCTATATCGTCATCAATGTCTACATGTAGTCGGTGAGTACGACTACTGCCATGGGAAAAGAAGCACTACAGACAAAAATGTTTGGCATTCTTAACCGCACAATCTAGATGCGACCTAAAGGGGGCTGGTTACCGAGTCCACGTGGCCGGACACAATATCGATTGCACTCAGCGCAAGCAAAGAAAATATATCAACAATAACGTGTTTCTGGCGCTCATGAAACAGAAAAGACATCTCTTATAATCCAGTTTAGTAAGCCTACAAAAAGACTTGTTGATGCCTAGAATCATGAGAGCAAATAAGTAGTTAATTGCGCGCAACGGAAATACATAATGAAAGATCCAACAAAGCATAGACCATTCTTTCAAATTTTACAACAAACACCAAAATATGTCAAAAAATAAACCTTGACTGACATCGACATTAATCATGGTGACAGAGACAAAAATGTCAAGTAATTCAATTACGCTTTTGTGCAGCATCGAAGTGTAGCGAAGTTAGATCTCTGGTGTACTGACAGACTGGCATAACTTAAAACCGACACGGAGCAATTAGCGAGGCTAACAACCTTGACGTACGTGCGAGTCAAAAGAAGTGACCCCAAATAAAATTGTCAGCAACACCTGAATTGGGGAGTAATTGTAAACACGTTCACACATCTACGATGTTCTACCGCCTTTCTGTAAAAACAAATCTGCTCCAGGCTGCAACGTTCTCATTAAAAACCGAATTGAC